AGCTCTGATAAACATGTATGTAAGGAATGTGGGAAAGGCTTCTCGTTTTCTTCCACTCTCAGAGTACATATGCAAACTCACAAGGAAGAGGGAGATTATAAATGTAAGGTATGTGGGAAGGCCTTCACTCAATCCTCACAGCTCATCAGACATACAAAACTCCACAGTGGAGAGAGGTCTTATGAATGTAGGGAATGTGGGAAAGCATTTCCCAGGTCTTCAACCCTCAGTCAACACATTCTGGTTCACCGTGGAGAGAGATCTTATAAATGTGGGGAGTGTGGGAGAGCCTTTGCCTGGTACTCAAACCTCATTAGGCATGGGAGACTGCACAGTGGGGAGAGGCCTTATGAATGTAAGGAATGTGGGGTAGCCTTTCAGCACTGTTCACATCTCACTAGACATCTGAAAAGCCACCATGGGCACAAGCCTTTTGAATGTCAGGAATGTGGGAAAGCCTTTAGGTATTCTTCATATCTCACTATGCACCTAAATATTCACAATGGACAGAAACCTTATGAATGTAAGGAATGTGGGAAAGCCTTTGCTCATTTGTCAACACTCATTAGTCACAGAAGAATTCACAGCGGGGAGAGGCCCTATGAATGTGAGGAATGTGACAAAACCTTTGCTCGGCCCTCAGGACTGACTATTCATAGAAGAATTCACAGTGGAGAGAGGCCTTTTAAATGTGAGGAATGTGGGAAAACTTTTTCTTGGTCTTCAACACTCACTAATCATAGAAGAACTCACAGTAGGGAGAGGTCTTATAAATGTAAGGTTTGTGGCAAAGCCTTTGCTCAGCCCTCAGGACTCAGTAGTCATAGAAGAATTCACAGTGGGGAGCGGCCTTTTGAATGTGAGGAATGTGGGAGAACCTTTTCTGCGTCCTCAAAACTCACTCGTCATCAAAAAGCTCACAGTGTAAACAAGCCTTATGAATGTAAACACTGCGGGAAAGCCTATAAGCATTCCTCAGACTTAACGCTGCACACAATGGCGCACACAGGGGAGAGGCCTTATGTCTGTCAGGATTGTGGGAAATCCTTCAGGTGGCCTTCATGCCTGGTAGTACACAAGAGAATTCACAGTGGAGGGAAGCCTTAGGGATCTGAAGAATGTGGGAAAGCCTTAGTCAGGGCACTGTTTTAGTGCATTTAGAAGCCAGGTTGCGTAGGTCCTTTGAGTGTAAACAGTGTGGGGGAGCCCTTAGTTGTTGTTCACATCCTCACTCATTGAAACTCAAGACCGAAGGCTATTATGTGTCCAAAGTAAGATTGTCCATCCTTATTGGTATTTCTGAAAGTGTGTAAAGAACAGTGTCTGTACTAGAAAACAAAAACCACTTTGACGAAGGGGTAAGGTAAGTGGAGCTACAATGTGTCTGCCAGATAAGTGATTTTTTATGTTAAGGACATTGCTGTCTTTCTCGGTGTATGCTGCTTTCTTAATCAAAGGTTCGTTTCGACATAACACAAGGTTTGTGGAATGTATCCTTTGAAATGTTTGATTTCCTCAATAAAAAGTACAGAAACTGTTGATGCTCACTTCCTACCACTTATGCCGACTTTTATTCACTTAACAAGATAAATATAGATCCAAATTCATTTTCTTTTAAGCCTTCAAATCTCAAAATTCTCTTTGTTGTACACCTATCTCTAGAGATACACATCAATTTGGCCCTAAGGTAAATTGAATATTCATCCCAGAAAACCAGCTAAGA